TTCTGAGTGAAACTCGAATACATGGGAGATGATGACACTTTTTTGCAAAGGTGAATTGTGCATTTAAAGATGCGACGTAAAAAAACTACCCACTTTTCAACAATTCCATAGCGGCATCAATAGATTCGATTCCGATTGTCTGGAAAGTGGCTCAAGTTTCGGACTGCAAACCTAAGAGGATTGAACAGTTCTGTGAAATTGGCTAGAGAAACGGACGTGTAGACACCCACGATATCCTGAGAAGAAACCGATGAGCCTAAGTAGAGTCACGAATTGAAAACTGCCTGAAGGCTCAGAAATCGAAACATTGCAATCATAATCAAGTGAATTGATTGGCTGGGATAATGTAGAAACTGGGCGGAAGTGGTGTAGTGGCAAGTGGCACGCTTACCACGCGAGCGGTCCGGGGATCAAATCCTGGGTCGTGAGTCGCCCGGGCCAACCAAGCCTTCCATCCCTCCGGGGTCGGTTAATTGGTACCAGACTTGTCTGGGAGGATAAAAACACTGACTTGTACATCGGCTGGCCCCGCAAGTCATTGTATAGGCCACATCGCATTCAAACGCCACTACGAATGTACAAATGGAAGTAGAATGCGTGCCGCATCCCAAAAAGGGATTGATCAACGGCAAATGCTTTATCTTTTAATTAGAATCTATTGGCATTGCTTTACTTCTTTCACAGTTCCGGACGGCGGAAGATTTATCGTTGGCGGGAGCAATGCCGGAGCAAGAGCTAGCAACCGCAGCACTGTTTCGCTCATCCTGGCTCAGGCAAAAAAATTATAGGTGTAATATTTAGGAACTCTCTTCCTCCACTCCCTCCACAGCCTCCAGCGTTGGACAACGCATACATTGTTGGGATTAGTCTTTGCGCAGTAGTAGAGGGCAATTATGAACTGTACCGTTTTGGGTATTTTATGGAAACTCGTTCACTTCATAAATCTTCTGAAAACTACAGAGAACTTTGATTCAAAAAAGTAATGCATTCCAGATTACCATATCAAGATTAATGAAAAGATTAATGTTTAAGTTGCCGACATGGCACGTACTGCGGACAATCCTCGTCAGCTTGGCCTTATACCTTTACTTTTACTTACTTTTTTTTCAAATTTCCGTGCTTATGGCTTTGGTCTGGTGCTCAACAATCAGTGGCGCTCACATGAGTATATAATAAATAAATAAATATCAGCGAGAGGTATTCAATAAGGACCCGCTCAGCTCATTAGCGAATTCGCAAGTTAAATGCTACACGGGAAGGCTAACAAGGGAGGAATCTCAGGTCGACGTGTCCATTTGTAATGAGACATACAACTCTAGATTAGTTTTTGGACACTAACCTTGGTTCTAGATTTTAAATCTGCAGAGCAAATCTCTCAACGTAGCTGAGCAATCGCAGCAGGATTAACCAAAAACGGTAGCGGTAGTTGCACTGCGAGAGGTATTTGAATCGGCTTTTTGACGAGTTTGCTGCTTTTTTCTTTGGGATTGGCTGGAGGCTTCTTGATCCAAATCTAATCATAACCTTGCACACAGTTGAATGCATGATGATTTCACGGGGAAACCGAAAATCTCGGCTCCATTTGCCCACGATTGCCTACTGGGCTCATAGCGCGGACTCCTGACACTTTTGCAATGATCGAGTGTGATTCCTGCTCGCATTCGAACTACTTCTACGGGCAAGTTTTTGGTTTCAAATCCTTCAAGAAATTTAACTCATTCTGTGGGCCGCAGCCATCACCGTTGCTCTACGTCTCTTCACAACTTCGTTCAGAGGACGTCTCGAATGGGAATCCAGATTCGAGATCAGCGTTCAAAATCACGTCCAGCTCTGCACATCCCATTATACTTGGCTAGTCTGACCGAAGAATTTCTTTCGTAAACTGAATTGGAAGTCTAAGCGCAATCTTTTTGCAGAGAGAAATATCTCTATCTTGTCCAGTAGTATCAAAAATAATGAATTTACACCATCGTAAACTAAGTTTTCAAAGGTTCTGTGATGTTGCTGTTAGCTGGCAAGCATTTGCCTGACGTTTACTAGAGCTTTTTAGTTGGATGAGGCTTTTCAGAAGAAAGGAAAAGGAAGAAGAGGTCCAATCTGAGATGTTGGTTGAAGTGAAAGATGGGCAAATTACTAACTTGTGTTACCCTATTCATCGTTATCGTGTATCGTCGGACCCTCGCGTTCAAAAAATTGGCTCATCCGAAATTTTTATTTCCTTACTACTCTTATTATTACTACATATTAGCATGAGATTCTTCGTATCCTCACGGATATTTTGCTGTTGAAAAGTTTCGAGATCTTGTGAATGTGCTCCCAATTTTCAGTTGACAAATAGAGAAATCCTGTTTTGATTTGCTTCCGCCTAATTAACTGATGGTTTCTGGTGAGGTTTTTCAAAGCGACTTTCCTCTGCTTCTTTTCCCTTGTAGTAATCGTACGTTAAAGTACCTCCTTGTTGTCTTCCCCTATCGTACAACTATTTTATGTTCCATCATTAGAGCTCGGGACTCGTAAAGAAATTTTTCAAAGTTTTTCTTGCCGCAATGATTCTCCGAGCTCTTTACGAGTCTCGAAGAATGAAGCATTGCAAGCGGGACCAAACCAGAGAAAACGGCAACTTTTAAGAACGTCGTCCGAACTGCCAACGATGTGCACAGCACAACGTCGTCAATCGCCTGAAGGGACACAAAAGGGCGTGCCCATTCAAGGAGTGTTTCTGTCCAAAATGCCAGGTACGGTGATTTGACTTGCATTTCTTGAGCAAAACCTGTGCCATAAGTGGTTGGTCGCTATGTTAGAAGTCTCCCCCACAAGAACACTTTCAGTGTCCGTGATTTTTTTTCGGACC